AGCAACTGGTTTTATGGGGATGATGAATGAACTGGGAATCCGTATCAAACAAACACATCGGAAGGGATGATGAAATATATCGGGAAGTGCTCAAATGATGGGTACCATAAAGAAACTACACGAAGATTGTGTACTTTAGGTGCTCAAATACTTGCTAATGTCATTTTTTAGCAAGCAACAAAAACGCAAAAATTGGGTAGAATAAGAGCCAGTTCACCCCATCTCGAAGCATCATTGGTTGTGGTGAATTTTCAGAGCCATCACTTGAGACTCCAACATGGTAATCCAAGTATTCATGGTCAACGTGTACCCTCTGGTCATCAAATATGGCTGGGAAATCCCCGTGGCGTCATAGAGATTAGTTGGCTGGGAACATCGAACTAAACGTTTGATGACCTGAGGGTAGACTTGAAGGCTTGCAATTCTTATGACATCACAAGGTGGTGCCCCAGTTACCCAGTTCGGAATCCCTAAGTTGGTGAACATAACTCCAATATCTAGGGTCTATGGTAGATATATCTAACTAGTTACTATGGTCTATAAACCAACTTATAACTGGGAGGGCACTACCTTGCACGTGTTCCCATGTTTTTCCCATGTTTTTCCCCAGATTGTCACACGTTGCATCACATCTGTGGCGGATTTCCATCCTGATTTACCCAAATGGCCATGAAGAAAGAGCATGATGACATCATGATTATCCAAACACATTTTTAATAGACTATTATATATAACTTCCAATGGACAACTTGATGGTATAGTTCATAGTTCATAGTGATAATCACTATTAAATGCACCTTGGTATATATAATCACTATGGTTCACCCAGAAAAAATCGGAGGCCCCGAAACCATGTGGATTCCGCCTCGATCCAACGCGTTAAAAATTTCGAGATGCCGCGAGGTGCTGTGTGCACATCCAGGAGGATGAGCAAAAATGGTGGGCATCCCAGATGTCTCCAAGGTGCATTTCATAGAGATTAATAGTGATTAATAGTGATTAATAGTGATTAATAGGGATTAATACTGATTAATTGTGATTAATAGTGATTAATAGTGATTAATAGTGATTAATAGTGATTAATAGTGATTAATAATGGCTAATAATAGCCAATAATGGTTCATGATGGCTAATAATCCATATGGAGGTTTCCGAAGTCGTTAGGGGTACCCGAATAGCTGGATGGTTTCATGGAAAATCATGGAAAAACCTATGAAACAATATGGATGATTGAACCGGGAACCGCCCCTATTTTAGGAACCCTTTTTGGGTCTTCGTTGAATCCCATATGAACCACGATTTTCCGGCCACGCTGGAAGCCCCGTTTCTGATGCAGGCGAGAGGCAATAAGGAAGTGTATAGAAGCAGAACACTGGTGGGCAGCATGTGTAAGCTTCGGCGTATATATACTGGTTGGTGGTTTGGAACATTTTTTATTTTTCCATATATTGGGAATAATGATCCCAACTGACTAATATATCTAACATTTTTCAGAGGGGTGGCTCAACTACCAACCAGATAAGCCTTTGAGCAAGCTGATCACGGCAACGTTTTTTTTTTCACGTGCCATTTTCCCAAACCAAAATGCTGATCCGCGGCCATGCACCATGATGGCAGGTCACAGTTTCTCACACTTTTGTTGGTCGTCTTGCGGCGTTTTTAGTTTTGGGTCCCAAACATATAAATCTGGCTGGTTTGCTCCTTTGATGCGGAAACTGTAGGTTCCAAAAAGAACACCACATCTTCATTGAAAAGTTCTACCTGTCTTGGACACCAGATTCACAAGAATCATAGCCCCCTCCGACCTCACAACATTGTCCTTTTCGAACTTGTTTTCCCATCACTACTACTTCTGCTTGGTCTTTGGAACCACAATTCCTGAACATAACTGCAAATTATCATTCTTAGTCAGAAATTCCAAAATTATTGCAATTCTGATGGGAGGTTTCCTGATTCTTAGTCAACATATCATTCCAATCAGAACCCTCCCATATTTTGCCCACCATGTTTTTCTTTACAGATTCCCTACGGCCTCCCTTTGGATCCCAACAGGTCAAGACAAAGGCTTCCGCACGGTTTACCACAGCTCTGAGACAAAAACAATGTATATATATATATAGAATTATATTAGTATATACAGTATATATATATATATTATATTATAATATAAATATATATATATATATTATACGTAGTTGTAAATGGCGTATGGTACCACAAATCTGTGGAGATTGGCTGTTTCAAATAGGGCAAAAAAACTCAACAAATCCCAAGAGAACAGCAGAGAGGCAGGCCGTGTTCAGATCTCATTGCAAGAAGATGATGTTTCCAAACAGGATGCCCAAGAATCTAGGCTTCAAGGTTCTGCAGAGATTTCTCTTTATATATACGTAAATACTATATAAGATATAATACATTTTATATTCTATATCATATATCATATATATTGTAATATTCTATTATATACTATATATATCATATATCATATATAATATATCATATATTATATATTCTGGATTATATATATATATATTATCATATATCATATATATATATATGTTTGATTTTCCATACTTTTCCTGCAACATTCGGATGATGATCCCACACCACGACTCCGAAAAAACAACAACAACATGGATTTTAGACATGTTGTGAAACAAGGCCCCTTTTGTTCCTACAGGGTGGTGCCCCAGTTCGTTAGCCAAGTCGGTTTATAAGTCCAATAACTGTAACTATGGTTTATAGATGATATATCGAACTAGTTAATGGGATTATTAGCCATTTATAACTGGGGGGGCACAACCTGGTATCAAATTCCCGATGTCTGAGGCCTATGGTGCACTTGCCCTACTTCTGGTCTCAGAAAGCCATCCACACCTTGGAGCCTCCAGAGGCGCCCCTTGACGAATGACTCGAAGACAAAAGAGTGTCAGGGCTTATGTTTTTTCTGTTTGAGAAAGTGCATGTTCTGTTTTTTTTAATACTATGATTTACCATTATTCATTCCGGATTTGCCATGATTTACCATTAAATTTACCATGACCTAGGATTTACCATATCTTTAGCTATAGTTGGCCTTGTTTTTTCCAGGAAGATCACCGTGAAAGCATGTCGCTTTAGATACTGACCGCTCTCCGAGCCTGACCACTGGGATGGTTTTCATGGCGGAGTTGTCCCAAAAGATGTGAGGAATAGCATGGAAATTGCATGTACCCTCTGGCTATTTAACATAGCCGCATAGCCATGGGAAATGGCCCATTTATAGATGGTTTACGTATTAAAAATTGTGATTTTCCATGGTGAACTGTTGAATAACAAGATGGTATATACGAGTTGTAACAGACGTTGGTTGGGGTATCTTTGGGCCTTTTCCCGACATTCCATGGGTTGAAAAATGGTTCTTCAAGAAATCGTGATGCCACTCCGAAAAAAAATATCTCCAACACATTCCCCAGATGTCTGGTACATTTCCCAGAATACCACCAACCAAAAACGCCGCAAGCGGAAAATATTTGTGTTCTGGAGGTGTATTAGCTGGAAGTGGCTTATCAAAGGTAGATGCTGTCTGATGGGAAACGGTCAGGGTCAGAAACACCGACAACCAGAGTGATTAAAATGAGTCAATTCCTACCCAAGAGCCTCAGTGACAGATACATCATATAGCACTTTATACTACAGTAGAGCCTACATCATTTCCGATGAATGATGATATCTTTTAATATCTTATTGCATCCATTTTGCACCTCGAATCCGGTCTGATCCAATTTCAGGGCCATTTGCTGAAGTTGGACCCTGGGTGGCGTAATTGGCGCCCTCGCATGCCCTTGAGCCAGGGAAACCTAGAGTGTTTTTCGCCCACTTCTCCAGAAATGGGCGGATGGCCACCCAAAATGGTCAAACATAGGACAAACTGTGGGGGGAAACTGGTGTTCTCATTTAATAAACTTGAACGCATTCTTGGAATTCTTGGAGACCATTGTTTCTGGAGAAACTGGGGTGTTTTTTCTTCATCTCTCCAAGATGGGAGAGACCATATGGATTATGGGGTAGAACCATATATGCGACAATACCTCATATTGGGACCGCTGATTATGACATTATGGGGCTTCAATTTTTATCGGCCACATCTGTCAAGTACCTTTTGCTCGGCCAAACATCGATGGAAACCATGAACCATGAACTCCTGTAGGGGATTTGATGTGATTTAGTAAGGCGCTATTTCGCAAGATACCTGGAAGGAGTTAGCGGAACAAATTCCTAAGGTAGATGTGAAATACAACCTTTACTCGTCAAATTCCATGTCTACTCATGAAATGCCATTTGGAGCCTGAATCTTAGAATTCCTCAACACAACGGTCAATTTGCAGCGTCAGGCTGATTGTCACCGCAAATTTCGGGCCTCCTACGGTCCTACTACCGAATTGGTCAAGAAGTAGATGTTCTGGTAAAACATCATGCTTGATGACCTGCTGAAGGTAAACATGGTAATAATATGTAATAATTATTTCAGCAAGTAGCATGTCAAACATGCTTGGGACAGGTATTGGACCGGGATACATAAAGCCCAATCACTGAACATCAACAACCAATGGAATGAAACAGTGGGCAGGGAATCACTGTGGTGTTCCAAGCCTTTCCAAAGGGTTGCTGGTTTCATGGTATTTCATGTTGTTGCTACAATATGTTTGACTGGAAGACACATGTATATCTTCGCATTGATTTTTACTTTCTTCCCGTATCCTGCCAACCAGCGCACATTTCGCATCCATCCATAGACCCCTACACATGGCAATGGCGCAAAAAGACAATGCCCCACAGATCCCCAAAGTGGATCTGCAGCTACTAGATGTGGCCAAACATTATGGGCAATTATGGATCATTATGGCCGGAAGGCAAATCAATCCGAATCAGCTAAAGAATTTTGGATGAAGCTTCAGAAACCATCCCCTCTTTTTTTGGAACAGCTAAGTGGATCAGCGGATGCGGCGACTTTTCGGCTCAGCCGGATGCGCCAATTTGGAGGGCGCCCCCCAAAACGCCACGCCCCACAGAGGTGGACACACTGCTCCTGGTGGGGTACCTATATGTATCATGGGGGATTTTTCATGCAGAGTTAAATAAATAAATAAATAGATACACACACATATATATATAATATTATATATATATATAATGATAGACATAGATTATATATTATATATGATTCAATCTTGTAATGTGATTTTTGAGGTGCCCAGTAGCTGCTATAGCTTTCTTTCAGTCAAAACATGTTCGAAGAAAGGACTCAGCTACGGTCTCTCTTCGGTCGTGGATGTCATGGACATGACACGGATATCATTCGACATTGGGCCCCATTTGTTGTACTCATCTCGTGTAGCTTAGGAGACCAGGGGATGAGTCAGCTTGACTTCCTTTCCCATGGCCCTGGCCATGAAACGTGGCTGGAAAATCCAACATGAATCGTTTGATGTTTTTCCCGCCATGTTTGATCACCGGAGGGTACCAGTTGCTGAGTGGTCAGACTCCACCTGCTCCAGAAACACACATTATACTATACGATTTCTTGCTTCGTTCCTGATACGGTCTGAAGAAAGTCACATGGTGGCTTCCGAAAAAATGGGGGTACTCCGAAATGGATGGTTTGTGATGGAATATCCATCTATAAATGGATGATGAACAGGGGTATCCCTGTGACTTAGGAAGCCGAAAATCCAGTGGTTTGGAGGGAAACTGTGCAGCCTATGGCAGGGAATGCTCACATTTGAGGGGCTGGTCCAAGACATCATCCAAAGGAGAGGAAAGCTTGGCAGCAAGGAGCTGGAAGATGGGGAAACAAAACAGGAGGGAACTATGAATGGGAATAAAAAAGGATCCTAAAACGGAGGTACTGTACCATATAAGACCATATTTTGAGGGGATATTCCCTGAAATTAAAACCTTATATAGGCCTTATATACAGTAGATAAGTTTAGGTTCCTGAAATGGCCATTGAAACTATGCAAAGAGAAAAAGGGTAAAAACTGATGAAGAATATGAGGATTTCATGGACATTGGATGAAGCAATGGGTCAGAGCCAAGAAACATAGCTTAAATGTAGAATCTTGATGAATCTTAGGGATCTACATTATCTACACATGGCTTAAGCGGTTGTTGGATATGATCCTTGCAGGGCGAGGAATTCTGGGCCTGGATGAGACTGTCAAACACGGGGCAGTGCAAGGGAGACCGATGGGAGCTTCAGGTTCCAGGAAAATTGCCACCAGTTTTTCTCTCATCTTCGTGACCACGCGGAATCATGACCCAAACTGATCTGAACAATCTGAACATTTCGCAACCCCTTCAGAAAGGGATTTTTGTCCAGTTAGAAGCCGCAAAAAGTTGGTCATCTTTATTGATTTCTGCAACAATAAAGATCAATAGAGGTCACCATATATGGTATCTCTGGTTTTCACTAAAGATCAAAAGAGGTCACCATAATTATTGATGGTACATACCCCAAAATCCCCCCAAATCCCTACATCCCCTTGCCCCAGGAAGGAGCTGATTCGGCACAAGACTACCAAGAGGCACTTTTTCAGGGTAGCAATCGTTTGAGCAGTGGCGAGACATTTTTCCCTCCGTTGGTCGATGATGTTGGGGATTCTACTCACCATTTTTGATGTTGGGGAATTGTCACAATCCATCAGGGGTTTATCAAAATCGCAACGACACAGAGAATGTCCAAGCCATGGTGGCTATGGTGGCAAACATTTGGTGTAATCCCTTCCTCCTAATACTAAACGTCCCCCAAATACTAAAAACAGGCGTCCATCTCCAGTTTCAGAAAATTTCAGATTGGCCAATTTGACTTTAATTGATCCCCTTTAGAAAACAATTTAAAAATCAAGCTACCATTTGTGGTTTTTCCCCCGTAATACTAAAAACTAGTCAACCCCGGGGTGTTTATTATTAGGGTCCGTCCGATTTTTTTTAAGTTTTTTATATTAGGGCTTTTAATTTAGTATTAGGGGGAAGCTTCGAAATCAAAGTGTTGGCAATATTTTAATTGCGTTATATAAAGAAATCTATATAATTGATTTTGAGATCGTAAAAAACAGTTTTTATTATTAAGGGCTTTAATTTAATATTAGTGGGATGCTTCGAAATCCAATTTTTGGCAATATTTATAATATTTTAATTGCGTTATATAAAGACATTTAATTGATTTTGAGATCGGGAAAAACAGTTTTTATTATTAAGGGTTTTAATTCAATATTAGGGGGAAGCTTCGAACTCCAATTTTTGGCAATATTTTAATTGCGTTATATAAAGAAATTTATATAATTGATTTTGAGATCAGAAAAAATAGTTTTTATTATTAAGGGTTTAATTTTATTAATAAGGTTCCCTAAAAATAAATATTCCCCTAATACTAAAAGCTACCTGCCGTGTTTATTAATAGGGGGAGGGGGGGACGTCTAGTATTAGGAGGAAGGGATTAACTTGGCGACATAGATCACAGTTTGGATCTTCTTTGCCTGGGTTTTATGTCAACAGATTCAAGCTTGAATATTATGAATTATGAAGAACTCTTGCTATGGTCCTAAGCTCTCCAATGGTCCTCTCTGAACTGTCAAACGGGCTATTTCCGGCCAAGCCAGGTGTGGTCAACCTTTGGAAGCTATGTGAGGTCTTGTTTGGAACAGAGGTGGGGATGTGAATGGGGTGTTTTTGCCAACTAGAACAGGGTTGAACAAAAACACCAAACAACATGAAGGAAGGTGAGTAATCTTTTACGAAAGGTGTCTGGGTGAATTCGGATATTACCGAAAAACTTTGGGAGTCACAATTAGTAACTTGTTTGGTGTGCTGTTGATTCGATGCTGGCATGGAAAGTATTGACAAGCCACCTTTCAAAAAGCTTGAAGCCGGATCCGGCATTATGGCTCTGTTGAGATTTCATTATCAGACATTGTCAAATATCAAATTACTTCATTCAAAAAACTTAGAAATTAAACATTATGGCTCTGATATAACTGACATTTAGATTAATTGGTGAATTGGTGAATCAGGGCTGTAGCCTTCACATTAGACAAGTGACATCAACCGACCGGTCAACGCAACGCCATCCTGCGGGGCCCAGGCGGGGACTGCAGCTGAATAGCTTTTGCAAGATCGGCTGGACCATCCAGAAGAAACTAGGCCGGGGGTGTCTTGCGGGGAACACGTCGGGGGTACAAAAGCCATCCAAAACGGGGTCCGAAGTTTGGAAGACCGGCTGGAAGTATGAAAGCCCCAAAACATCCAAAGACATGGCCAAAAACATCCAAAAACATCCCAACAGTGACAGTTTGTTTTCTTCAAAACATATGTCGTTACACGGTGTTTGGTCTCCAGCTGTAGCCCTGTCTCAGGCAAGACCGCCTACCGGCCATATTTCCACTTCTCAGACTCGCATCTCGTCTATGTCTATGTTGACGGGAAGGATAATGGAGGATGAAGGTCAGTATCCGTATAAGATATGTGATTATATACTTAATATTCATGAATACGAAAAAGCACATGGAAGCAGAAAGCAACCAAAGTGCTGTGGGCTAAACGGTGAAACATGAAACCGCATTTCGGTCACACTGATTCCTGGCAATTTGGCAATCATCAAAAGAGATTAGACTCTCATGATCTCTCATGAATTTCCATGTAATACGGATTAGTGAACACTCTGAAAAAAAGATACCATCCCCTGAAGTAACATAGACCCTGCCACTATGGGCTTTATTGATATTAGTTTCCACTCAAATTTGCTCCATTTTCTGGAGGCTTACCATCTTGTAAACCACCATTTATAGATGATTTTCCGAACGCAAAAACCCATGGGGTTTTGCACATCTCAACGTTTCGCCGAGATCAACAATAAAATCCATTAAAATCCTTCCCCCTCCCCCCAAAAATACTATTAAATCCCATGAAATTCCCAGTGAATGGTGAATTTATCCTCTGGTATCAGCTTGACCGTCCTACGTAGATGTCCCAAGTTGCGGCCCAGGTTCATTCGGTCCTACCTGCCCGAGGCAGCGCGAAAACATGCAGCCAGTGTAGTGCCTTGGAACAAGTTGAGCTTTGGAGTATGTTCCAGTGATGCTGATGTATGGATAGTATATGGTGGATAATATGATTATAATATATACATGAATAACATGGATAATATGGAACACTATGGAGATAATATGAAACACTATGGAATCATCATGTTGATATGGATAATATGGAATGATTAACGTTAATGTAACGTTGATATGGTATTGATATATGTTGATATAATAGGGACACTATGGAATATTTATGGAATATTGTGCAATGTTGATATATGTTGGTATATGCTGGTATATGCTGGTATATGTTGATTTATGTTGATTTATGTTGATATATGTTGATACATGTTGATACATGTTGATATATGTTGATATATGTCGATATATCAACAGTTCCAGTATGTTCCAGTGATCATAGATAATTCCATCATTCAGAAACTGTTGATATATGGGCTAAACATCACAACATTTATGGCAGAGTGAGGATAGAATGGGGATAAACATTGCAGATACCCTCTGGTTATTTAACGCAGCCATGGAAAATGGCCCATTTATAGATGGTTTACCTATTAAAAATGGTGATTTTCCATGGCTATGTTAGTCATAACCAGATGGTATATGTCTCAAGATGTTTTTTTTTTCGCCAAGATGGGCTCTGCCAAGGCAGAAATTGAGCCAAGTTGGGCTCAGTTGATCCATCGATAGACAGACAGACAGACAGACAGACAGACAGACAGACAGACAGAGAGATAGATAGATAGATAGATAGATAGATAGATAGATAGATAGATAGATAGATAGATAGATAGATAGATAGATAGATAGATAGATAGATAGATACGTAGATAGATAGATAGATAGATAGATAGATATAGACAGACCTATATATATATAAATATCTATCATATAAATATCCATATATATAGATACAACAGTATATCATGATAGATAGATGGATAGATAGATTTATATATATATATACATATTAATAAATATAGATACAACAGTAGAATATCCACACGCCACATATCCACTCAGGCAGGAGACCTCTGTAGCTTTGAGGACTTCAACTTCAGCAAGGCCAGCCGGGTGGAATTTTCATCTCCAAAACCCAGGAGAATCCCAGAGATTTTCCGGTTGAAACATGGCAGTTAAGTCAATGGGAGTTATAAGACCAATGGGTTGGTTTACGGGAACATTTACAGGAACCCCCCTATATTTATCAATCATGGCAAGAACAGTTTGACCCCGAAAAATCACCAATTTTTAGCGGAAACCGAACGACGAACAAAGCCCTATCTGACAGGTTTTTTTGTGAATTTACTGGAGGGTTAGCATCAAAGATGGGGGTTTATAATAAGGGACATTGGAAGGAGACATTGGAAGGATATATGAGGGAAACCCTCTGGTAAACTAACATAACTATGGAAAATCCACTATAAATGGTCATTTTCAATAGCTATGTTAAATTACCAGAGGGTATATCATTTGGCATATTATAAGCGATACCCTTCAGCAATCAGTCATGGCTTGCGGGTAAATCCCTATGGGAATATCACCGAGCTATTTCTGGATGATTTTCCAGAACCTGGTTACCAGAGGCTATCTGGCAGTTTTTTATTTGATAAACCCGGATTTTTTTGTCTGTTGCCACACATGGGAATGTATACAGACAAACCAAAATCAGGTGTTTTGCGGTGAAGATCTAAGACTGACCAGGATATATATATATATACACACATGTATATATATATATATACACATGTATATATATATATATACACATGTATATATATATATATATATACATATATATATATACATATAATAAGGATTCTGATAAACCATCCTTTAACATGAGTATACCGTAGAATGCCATATCAACAAATATATGGTAAACTTTTTAACATCTCAGTTTTCAACCCGATCAACAACTAGAGCAGCCATTTTGCCCAGCAACACTTTGTATCTCATGAATCAGTCATGGCTCATAATTCAGGGTTGACATGTGTGTGATTTCAGTAATGTCAACCCTGGATTCATAAACCCCAAACGGCTGTTTAATTGGGAGGGTACCATAGAAGTATCAGATTACGACTATTGGAGGAGTAACCCCCCTAATTTTCATAGACCATGGTTTATTAATCCGGGGTTGACATTATGTCAGGTCTTATTGGGGGCGCTCTTTCTGTGGTTTCATCTTACAAAATCCCCAGTTTGATGCTGGAAATACATGGAAATACTGGTACATACTGGATACCACTATCATCTGGGATGGACATACTCTCGAAGGATCGATAACATCAGGGGGGAACAATTGCCCCATGCAACAAACGGGGAGACTCACGTCTCTGGCTTCGTGGACCAACAAATCTGGTTGGTGGTTTGAAGATTTTTTATGACTTTCCATTGAGTTGGGAATAATACTATCTACTGTACATCCCAACTGACTTTCAGTATCTTTCAGTCCATTTGTCAGAGGGGTAGGTTGAAACCACCAGAAATGGATCAATGTTTAAACCAACATGTTGGGATGTTGGTATGGGATGGGATGGTCTGTTTTCACAGCCAAGATGACCTCTTTCGACTCTTGGTCCAAGATTCTGAAAACTTTAGTGGAAAACCCTCCCAAGAATCAAACATGACAATGGAACATCATGGAACATCAACCATTTATAGTACAGAAATATGACTTCTGAGCCATTGATGATTTCCCCATGGTAACTATCTGGGGCTCCAGCCATGTTTTGATGGGAGTTTCCGGGGATCGTCTCTGGAGGCTGGTGGGCCCCTATTTACTGTATAAAAAAAAATATATCCCCACTTATACTAATACATGTATTTTTATGTATTTTTAATATATATATATATATATATATATATGGGATTATGTGTTTTTTTTCATTTATATATATATTTTGTGGATATCATAAATGATAAGAACAAACCACGGATTCGATAAGTGGGATGCACATCCAAAATAGTAGTTGGACCACCAACTATTCCAATATCTCGCAGGAAAGCCGGAGCCTGTGGCTCCTACTTGAGCCAGGACATTATCCCAATTCTGACTGGTTACAATTCACTACCATAGTTATAAATATTTAGAGTATAGTATACTATCTAAGTCTAAATATAAATCTAAAAAATAAAAATAAATATAAACATAAATACAAGTATAAGTATAAATATGTAGATATATGAATATCAATGTATAAATGCATATATATATATATCTCAATTTTCGTGAATGTAGCTGCTTGTTGCTTAGATTTTTTTTTATATTTTCTATCCCAACCCCAGGACCGTTCCAACAGCGTTACTGCCAGGCTGCCTTGAAATTCTCCAAGCAGTTGACGAAGGATCAGGTTCCCGGGCTCAGGGCGCGGCAAGAAACCGAGAGATACCAAGGTATTGCAGCTGTACCATGGATCTCAATATGGGGGTTTCTTAAGTCATGGGGATCCCCAAGTCACATTGGGTTTCAATACTAACTGGTTTATCATTTGGATGATTGGGGGGTACCCCCATTTTAGGAAACCTCCATATGTGACATGTGGCCTTCCATATCCAGTAATATCTTGTGACATACATATGTTTACCTAAGATAGTGAGATGCTAGGCACACTGTAGTTGACTCTTTTGGGATGTTCTATGCAATGGATTGGTGAAAGGTGGTCAAAGCAACATCTTAACCGGAAACATCCGGAAAACCCATGTGTTTTAAACTCCAACTATAGGAATTATAGGGCTTTTTAATCGAAAACCAACAACACCAATCCATGGATTGCTGACAGGACCATCCCAGGCTGGGAAAATGCTTGGAAAACATCTCTGAAAAAGGCAGACACAGCGAATTTGTCTGAACGAATGAAGCAGAATGGTTAGAAAGAAAAACACATTAAAAAACGCTTGGTGTACTTTATTTGTATCGGGTATCAGTCGCACGTTTACGTTCTGCATCCAAAGCTGCTACCTCCAAAGCTGTTCAGAGCTCCCTTCTTCGATGGCGTTCTGGCTTCAGAGTCACAGCCTATCCTCTCTGTGTTATCTAATTTGGGTCTGGTCCTGGTCAGAACGCTCTGTTTTTTACACCCTTCGGCAATCAGCTTCATTTAGTATATTTAGTGCGATTGTTTTCGCAGCGAACTCAACCTCCGTGGCTAGCTTGAAGACACTGGAGGGTATCCAGTGTGGGGGAATCTCGCAAAACCAGAAAAAAACAGCAACACGAGAAACATGCAGCTTGGAACAGGGTCCTATCTGCTCCTATCTGGTTGACTTTGGATTGAACAAAAAATCCGGTCACCATCATGTTCCGTTCCTCACGGGGACGGATGATAACACTGACTAATGAATGACTAATGGATGACTATGACCATGCATCTATAATAGTCTATAATCCGTAACTAATATATTCACAACTGATTCATATTAGGATCGGTGAAAGCTCTCGGTTTTTCACGATAGTTTGCTTGTGTCCAGTCGAAAAATCCCGGATGTTTCATCCTTTTTTCAGACCAATCCCGGAAATCAGGTTTCGTTGAAGCGGAAAACCAAAGGCTATCCCAATTAATATCCCCATAATGAATATCCCAATTACTGGAATAGGGATGTTCCACCCAATTATGGATAGCCTGAAAAAAAAACCATCTTCATATCATTTAATATCCCAATTTGAGAACAAAATCCTCGGCTAAAACCACAACGCCCAACCATGGATGACCATGGCATGGTTCAGGTCTTTACGATGTTGAGAGCCCTGGTCCAGAGGATTGGAGACAGCATTGCGGATGGCAGGTGGGGAATCTGCTTTTTCGTCCCGGAGTCGGAGTCTGAACCACCAGGAATTTCTACCCTGATTGGTAACAAACTAGCTCTGGTAATTTGTTACATAGCTATTGAACATATCCCATTTATAGTTGATTTACCTATTTAAAATGGTGATTTTCTATAGTTATGTTAGTTTACCAGAGGGTATTATAACTACAGGATGGGGGCTTCCAGTTATGTGAATGTTGGTTAAGGCGCCCATCAAATTATAGTTAATAGTTAATTATATTTAATTATAAGTACCATACACTATGGTTATTATAGTTATTTGCACCAACTTAGCTAACGAACTGGGGCCCCATCGTGTAGGGACTTATACTACCTACTGGGGGCTTCTGGACTGACCCCTCGGATTGGGAAAGCGTTTTCAACCAACGCATGTATTTCATGAGATGGAAAAGCGGGGTATTTGGAATGGCTCAGATGATAAAAAAGGGATTGTCTGAAAATAGGATGCCCCTATATCCAATGGATGAAATAAGCATTTCCCAGTGAAGGCTGTATGAGTGCCCCCATTTTCATTGATCTTTCATTGATCTTTCTTTCTTTCTCTCACTGGTCGTTGTCTCCATTGTTGGCGGCTTCGCTCCCAAGTATGATTGTGTATAGTCCTATTAGAGTCTGAAGATTGACCTCATACCAATGTTTACACCTGTTGTTCAGTGGTTAAACTGCCATTCTTTGTTTGCTAAATAAAACTCTTAAACTTGTCTGATACTTAAATATGGGTTTGTGTGAAATGGTGTGTCCCATTTCATTCCATGGATGCCGTCATCATGGTCCCATTTCTTATATCCAGAAATTGAGAGTATCTACAAGGTGTCCCCAAGAACAGTTTTGTAAGTCGGTCTTATCATATCATAAACTCATCTAACTATTGTAGCTATATGTTTTGGGTCTAGAAATAAAAACAACTCATGAATTATGAATATATCATATCTATCCACAATTTTAAGCCTACAAGCCTTGCTCCCCCCCAGTTATGTGGGTTGGTTTTGAACCCCCCATGAATACTAGTTTGTTCGTTGGGGGTAGTCAGCCACAGTTTTCTAGTTATATAATATATAAGAAACAATATATCAACTAGGTTTACTAGTTCGTTATATCTACCATAAGCAACTTGGAATCTAGTTCGATATCTAACCATAGTATCTATAGTTAACCATATACATATACATATGTATATATATACACAGTTGTAAAGTTTACAACCATTTATGCTATAGTAGGTACAACCTATAGTTTCCATATTCGTGTGTATATATATATATTATATTAACTATGTTCATCTATATTGACCTATGGTTACCATATTCATTTATATATATATATACAACTATAGCTAACCATATACATAAGTATGGTTCTTAGAACCATTCCATAAACCTATGGTTACCATATATATATATACACATTTCACTACAATATGTTCAATCATCTCTGTATGGTTTATATACGTTTATAGTTTGGTAGATATAACCTATATTTGCCATATATATACATATATGTATATATGTATATACTACAATATATACAATCTGGGTAAATTATAACGACCTCACTGTTCTCCCTCACTGGAATCATGGTTAATATCATGGTTAATAAGGGAAATCATCCACAAGATAGCCTTAATTCAGGTTAGTGAATTATTATCATTTACCCAGATATATATATATATACAGTATATATATATACAATTATATATATATACATATCTATACCAATATATACATAGCTGCCATTATTGATAATATATATATATACACATACTACAAGATATTACCAAATCACCACACATATCTAATATACTTGACATATGGTATGTATATATATATCAATAATGTCCTTGGGTGTCCTTGGTATATTGATATATGATAAGGAGATCATGATAGATGCCAAGTTTAGCGTATGTTATTTGGCCACCACATTCGCGAGCAAAGCTGACACCAGGGAGATGGAGATCGGCCTCAGTGATGTGGGCAAGTCACTTGGACGGCAACGCTATGGACCGTATGGCTGTAAAATATGGCTGGTAATATATATATATACTAGGTATATATAGGTATATATAGCTATTATATATCTATATTAGGTATGTATATATATATATATGTTTTTCCCCACCTGACAGGTGAGGGTTGTTAGATTTTATCAGAGCTGTTGTCCTCCTCCTCCTCCTCCGCCTCATCCTCCAGTTTCTCCTCGACCATGTCTGCATCAACTTCCACCTCCACTTCCGCCTTGCCAACTCTTCGCCAAGCTCTTCGCCAACTTCCCAGCTCAGTGCGCACTGCTGGACCTCACCCTGGGACCTTCCCAGCTCAGTGCGCACCGCTGGACCTCAACCTGGGACCTTCCCAGCTCAGTGCGCACCGCTGGACCTCAACCTGGGACCTTCCCAGCTCAGTGCGCACCGCTGGACCTCAACCTGGGACCTTCCGAGCTCAGTGCGCACCGCTGGACCTCAACCTGTGACCTTCCCAGCTCAGTGCGCACCGCTGGACCTCACCGGCCAGATAGAATGCCAGAAGATATGCCAGATAGAATGTCAGATAGAATGCCAGAAGATATGCCAGATAAAATGCCATAGGATATGCCAGATAGAGTGCCAGAAGATATGCCAGATAATATGCCAGAAGATATGCCAGATAGAATGCCAGATGGCATGCCAGAAGATAAGCCAGAACATGTGCCAGAAGATATGCCAGAAGATATGCCAGATAGAATGCCAGATGGAATGCCAGAAGATATGCCAGAACATCTGCCAGAAGATATGCCAGATAGAGTGCCAGAAGATATGCCAGATAGAATGTTAGAATATATGCCAGATAGAATGCCAGAAGATATGCCAGATAGAATGCCAGATAAAATGTCAGATAGAATGCCAGAAGATATGCCAGATAAAGTGCCCGAATGTTTGCCAGATAGAATGCCAGAAGATTTGCCAGATAATATGCCAGAAGATATGCCAGATAGAATGCCAGATGGAATGCCAGAAAATATGCCAGAACATATGCCAGAAGATATGCCAGGTAGAATGCCAGAAGATATGCCAGTAACAACATGTATAAATGTCATGGTGGGGATCACTCGAAGTAAAGTAATTGTTTTGTATATATGTATTAGGTGTGTATACATATATATGTTGCGGAGCTTAAAGTAAACCATTGCAATGGATTCGAATAAGGTCGGCCCGATAGATGAAGTTTGATGCATTTTCATCCCCAACCTTGGTTGGGTAGAAACTAATCCCTTAGTTTTGTGCTATAAATGGACAGTAACCATACAGGATGGGGCCCCATAGTTAGCTAAGTTGGTTTATAACTATAATAACCATTTTGTATGATGGTACTTATAACTATATTTTGATGGGGTTATAAACAAACTTATAACTGGAGGGCTCCATATTTCTTTTGGACACTCAAAGATTGACCATGATATTGGGGTGCAACTAGTTTTTTGGAGAGATGGTTGTTAGTTTGAGTTGGTGAACCGTAGCTGGATTAGACATAGCTAGACGGTGATATCGATAGTTATCATTCCCATTCCAAGCCATGAACCATATGGTGAACCATGGTTAATCTAGTTGTAAAGCGACTTGGCAAACTATTTTGGCACTCTTGTAGTAGCTAGAAAGAAAAACTAGCATGTCTATCCTATGGTGGGAGCTTGATTGGTCGAACTTTCTTCAAATATCTTCAGCGGGATATCCAACTGACATTCTGAATTCTAAACATTTAAGTGATGACCTGAAAACTTAAGTTCATGGCCTCCTGATCACAGAAGTATACACAATCATGAGCATGGGAGACCACCACGAAATCTCTTGAACACAGAATTCAACAGATATCAATGGTTTTGGAACTTTGAGCTCCCCAGTTCGAATTTTGGCTCCCCATGGCTCCAATGGTCACCTCAAACCTGAGCTGTGAGGTTTGTCTGCAGAAGTGACCGAGAACCGCGATTCATTTTCGCACAGGAGTTTCACAAGCAGGAGCTGGGTCAACTTGGGGCAGATCCCACCAAAGAAACACACCGGATTCGTATACAGTGCGGCAACATCCAATATCAATCAATATCAATCAATATATCATAATTATCATAGGAAAATCTCAATTGTCATAGGAAATAGCACCCAAAATTGCTTCCGAATCAGAAGATCCAGGACATTCGCCATCCAAGGGACGAGGCTTTCATCTCAACGACTTGCTTCCACTGATCTCACGGTTTTTTTTGGAGCTTAGTAACGGTTAGTAGATTCTGTACCCCATGGAAAAACGGACTTTTATCCGTTGCTAGCTAAGTGTGTCCTGATTACCAAGCAAAAAGCGTTGGTTGTTTGCTTCAGACGCTGGCAGACGCTGCATGCTATTTCTGATTCCAAGCCTCCATTGGGAACAGAATCTATTGATCCCATCCCCCTAATATTAAACACCCCAATTGCATGGTCCCAATGATGTGGAAATTCCCTCCTAAACCATGGCTTCTAAGGGGATGTTTGATATTGGGGGGAAGGATTTACACAGTTATTACACCCTATCAACCTTCACAAGGTGTAGGGCTGGTATAGAATGGTCGTGTTAGGGTCATAGACATCTCAACCATTCTTGTTGCCCGAGATGGATGTAGAAATTAGTCGCTGGTCAATTGCTAAGTACAACATAGTAACAACTGCTAAATTGATGCATTTTTTTCAGCCTGGCCAAGGGTTTTCATCGCTTATGATGATCCCAGGTGAAACTTCCAAGAAGTTACCATGAACTTGCCATGGCAATGGAACATATGACAAAGCATAGGATTTTAGGTGCCGGTGCCATAGCATATTTTCAAAGACAACTTACCAATTAATTACACGTAATTCTATTTTTTTTGTAGCCAGGGCAGCCAGGGCTGTGGGTGGATGTGCAGGACCCATAGCTTCAGTGGTTTATAGTCCCATCCTAATATTAAACATCCCCTTAGAAACCATGGTTTAGTAGGGAATTTCCACATCATTGGGACCATGCAATTGGGGTGTTTGATATTAGGGGGATGGGATTAGTCCATATATCCCAATAGATATCCCCTTTAAAGGTGGGCAAGGTGGGCCATTCACTTAGAACTTGGTTTACAAGCCCCATTAATCATAGTTACATCAGATGTCCTTTTCCCATTGGTTGGTTGATCAATAGAGGGGTCTGTTTACCCCTTTAACAATAGGTAAATGATGATAGATGGTATACCAAACCGGCCCCTCTATTTTTACCAAAGACATTGTTGGTAGTTACATCTACCATAAACCATAGAATGCATCAACTTAGGTGTACCAAGTTTGCCATCGGAAACGGGGGAACCTTGTAGTATCCTTTCTCCCTTTTTAAGCAGGGGATTACAACATGACAAGCTACCCCTGGCTTCTTCTTCATATGTCACATTATGTAGTCCATACATCAATATACTCATTTACATACATACATACATGCATGCATGCATGCATGCATGCATACATGCATGCATGCATGCATGCATACATACATACATACATACATACATGCACACATACATACATACATACATACATACATACATACATACATACATACATACATACATACATACATACATACATACATACACACATACATACACACATACATACACACATACATACATACGTACATACATACGTACATACATACATACACACATACATACACATACACACACATACACACACATACACACACATACATACACACACATACATAACATAACATAACATGACATGACATAACATAACATAACATAACATTTACATTACATTTACATTACATTTACATTACATTACATTACATTTACATTACATTTACATTACATTACATTACTTTACATTTACATTTACATTTACATTTACATTACATTACATTACATTACATACATACATACATAATTATATATAATATATATGTATATATCCTATACCCCATGCATAACCCATATCTCATTTTTAAGCCTATATAGGCCATATGTTTTTAATATATATCATTTACAGTACGAGCTATATACATAAAACATCTATCTATTCCAATCCAATCCAACCTAATCTAATTCTATTTCAAATCTATCATTTACTGTATCAGCTATATACAAGCCATCTATATAGACATAACACACACATACATATATACCCCATATATGACCTTTATATATATATAAATCTACAATTATGTATATATCTATATACACCATATATATATAATTGATAACCATTGTAAGGTGTATAAAGTACTTTTATCAGCGTATAACCCATACACAACCGCCAGGAGGCCTTGACGCCGCGTGACGCCAGCGGCTCGGCGCTAGAGAAAGCGCCAGCGGCGCCAGAGAAAGCGCCGGAGAAAGCGCGGGGGCAGCCGAGTCAGGCAACGACCAAAGGCGGGGTGAAAACTGCTGATTTTCCGTGGATATATATAATTATAAATATATATATATATCATATATGATATATATATATAACCTATTAGTAATTATGAAATTCGATAGTTAATCTCACAAATCCAAACCAAAAATATAGAAACGTTGGAACATGTTGGAAACCTAAATGGAGAAAACATCATTGAATTTCCACCTGACAACTTGACTCGATCGTGTCTGGATTTGGCTGGAAATCGAATCATTAGGTTAGATGGATGGATGGATCGATGGATCGACGGATCGATAGATAGATCGATGATAGATGATTGATAGATAAATAGATAGATCGATGGATGGACAGATAGATAGATCGATGGATAGATAGATAGATAGATAGATGGATGATAGATGCGTCTGTACAAGCGAACCTGGATTGCCATTTGTACATATTTGTACTACAAAAAACACTCTCCCCGAACTCGTGCTAGAGTTCAAGAAAGCAAGTGAAAAGTGGTGACATGTGCACGCTTTCAGACATTGATACCTGTTCTTGAGATTAGTACTAGGTACCGCTAAATGCGCCAAGCCAAAAGGGAAAAACCAGTCCGAGTCTATTGTAATTGATACATACGTATACGTAATATATATATATGTATATATATATTGTCTCCCTGTATATGAAAACATGTATAGATATACATATATTTAGATATAGATACATTGATAGATATTGATGCGTATAGATGCAGTTATAGATATCAATACATACATAGATATGGGTATATACATATATAATATACATTTACATATGTACTTATACATGTAGATATAGATACATATCTTTATATGTATAGATGCATGTACAGAGACAGACATAGATAGAGATAGATATAGATACAGATTTGGAAGCATGCATAGATACGGTACAGGAATAGATATAGAGTATAGAAATAGCTATAGGCTATAGATATAAACATAGACCTGGGTATATCTACATATACTTTTGCATATATATATATATAGAACATAGGTTCAATAGGTAAAAGCTATTAGATAATACAATCGATTGTAATAGCTAATGGATGATAGTAGATATGAATACATATTTATATATATATACACATCCATATTTAATAGATATAATAGATAATGGTGTTATATAATTTCATACACACACATATATATATATATATATATATGAAATTACATATATATATATAATCATTTTATACATATAATAGATTAATTATAATATAATCACATCCATATGTATATATATATACATCCATATAATGGACTAATATAATACATACACATCCATCGTCTTAAGATATGACGACTTTTTTGTTCCGCTTCTCCAGGTTTAGCTGTTGCCAAAGAGGCCGGCACCATCCGCATGGACAGCGTCCCCGCGCTGGGAGAGCCCAGGGGAAGGGACGTTGGCGCGGTGGATTTTGGGGAAAAATTGGGATTTCTGAGGGATTTTTGTGGCTTTTTGGGTGTTTTTTTTTGGGGGATTTCATGGAATTTAAGAGGGATTTTATGGAATTGAAATGGGGATTTAACGGGATATAACAAGCAACGTATGATTTCATGGGGATGTACTGGGGATAAAATAACTCGATTTCCAGAATGCTTATACAACTGGGGTTGGACATGACATAATTGGGATAGAAAGGAAGACTTGCATGGCATATCATGGTGATTTCATGAGATTTAATACGACATTAAATGTGGATTTGGTGGGATATAACCAACAAAATGGGATTGAATGGAGGTATGTATCCATAAATAGGATCAATTTCTACGACCTGGTGACACGACACACATGATGTCTTGTTGAGGGGGAACTGTTTGATTAAAAAAAACGAGCTGTTTTCCGGTTGGTGAAGGGAATCCAATCAGAAAATTTGACTAGAGATTGTGAGTCTATGACAAGTACAACAGAGGGCTTTGGCCTAATGTGAAAAACGTAGTGGATTTGCCCGGAAACAGGAGGATTTGCCAATTTATGGCCATGTTCAGCCCGAATGTCTTCTCAGCATCTTAGGGGATTTAGCCACAATTCTATCGGCATCAAATACTAGGTAAGAGGGACAGTTTCGGTGAATCAATATGTCTAGTGGCATGGAATGAGGTTCCAGTTTTTCTTGAGACAATCCCAAATATCAATGTGACCCCACTGCCGACATGGCAATTAGGATCGTGGAATCATCCAAAATATGATGCACATTTCCAGTTTAGGGACCATGAATTGTCATCAATTGCCTAGATAGGGAGTTGGCTGTAGGGGAAGGGTGAAGTATGGATTGGCATTGAAAAAACATATTCAAGATACTGTAAGGCTGTAAGGTTTAGGCAATATTTTATTCAAGCAAGATACTGTAAGGTTTAGGATATGATCGGCATCACATTTTTGCGTCTATGAACGCTGCCTTGATGCGTGAGGCCCTGCAATATGAGGAACACACGGGGCTGATTTTGGTTATCTCTTGTACCTCACCATCCCACATTGAGATCATTTGAATTTGATCGCAATTTCATCACCATTTTCCCGAAACAATCTCAAACGGTCATTTGGGTGATCATTTTTTTATGTCATGCCATCCATGGGGTCCATGGGACAGACTTTAGACTTGTCAGTATTTTCACAATCTCTAATTTTTGGACCCTCTGGTAATTTGTTGCAGTTTGCGAACTTGAAAATGGCCCATTGATCATAAAAAGTTTGTTGACTTACCGCACTAAAAGATGATGATTTTCCAGCTCGCAAACTGTTGGTTTACCAGAGGGTACCCAATTTTTTTTCGGAGCGAACTCCAGCCATTGGACGAGGCACGCGGAGGATGTGAAAGGATTCGATGGCGGCGTGCAACGGCCAATGGGCCACTTGGACGGTGGTTTCGGGCCAGATCCGGCGTTGAAGGAATCTATAGGGAGCAGGAAATAATGATCTTATGTTATCTTAATGATATAATTTGATATATATATATACCATCCCTGCAACTAAATGATTTTTCATGGATGCCTCCACTCTGACTCGCCATTGATTAGCAGAACTCAAGGGACCAGTGTTTTATTCGCTAACGGTTAGACGTTGAAACAGTTGAAACCATGCCCAACATGTTATGGCTTTAAAAAATCCACAGGCACAGCAAACGTGCTGGCTTTTGGGATATTGACCTCTAAACATTCTCCAAGCTGATCCGGGAAGTCTCTTCACAGGAAGGCTTGAACACCATCACTGTACTGCAATCTCACGGATTCTCAACATAGTGCAAGATTTACTGACCTGGAGGATATCTCACCAGTCCCGCCTAAAGACCAAACCTCATCCATGTTTCCCTAGTTTTGGCTAAACACATTACTTAGAAATTAGATAAAATTAGCCTTGCCAATGTGAAACATTGCCGTTAACACTAACTCGGGCAACATTCCTGAAGCGCTGCAGCTCAGTAATATGGTATAATATGGTAAACCCAATGCCATTGTCACCATCCATTTCACAAACTAAGACAGGAGGTCATAATAGACATCCCAGTCACAGAGGGTACCTAGACCCTCCAAGTACCTTCAAAAAAGCTGTTTTACCCAATTTTGCGAACTAGTACTTTGACCATTTCTTTTTTGGGCTATTTGGAGAGTCTACCCAATCATCAAACCATCATTTATTGGATACCCAATCATAAAACCATCATTTTTTGGGGGATGGTGACCTTCATGGTGAATCCCGCCCCACCGTTTTGGCAGATCCAAGGCGAAGAGCTGCCGAAATCTGCATCAGCGCCAGGGCTCACAGCTTTGCAATTCAAGTCTCTTGGCGTTTTTTGTGCGCCGTTCGTATCGCGGAGTCGCCGGGGAAGCGGGACGCGGCGACTGGGTAGACTGGATTTTTTCATCAGCTTGTGGAGAAAGAAACGTCTCAGATGTTGATGTGTTTCTTTGAAACAAATGGAAGTAGAAGATTGGGGAGAAGTGAACTATTACCAATCTAATTATATATCCATGGTTATGCACAGATTCTTGTCATTGTCATATACTATGATCATTCCCATTTTTGGTACGTATATTATATTCCCATGTTATATAGCACATTCCCATTTTTTAACCGGGTACATTCCATATTATATTCTCATGTTTACTATATATCTTCTCTCATTTACTGTATATATATATAATATAAATAATTATATATATATATTATAGGTTTCCTAAAATACGGTTACGGTTACTCCCAAATCATCCGAATATGATCAGTGCGAAAACCAATGGTTTGGGGTACCCGTAGCATACATATATATATATATGTATTTGTATTAATATCCAAAATTGGTTAGTATCAATGGGAAACCTATATATATATAGTATATATTTATTTATCCCCATGGTTCCATGGTTCCAGCCTACCTTGCGCTGCAACGTTCAGCCGCTGAAATTTTTTGAGGCGCGAGTTGGCCTTCAAAGAAGCCATGGATCGACATATCGCTGCCATGGAGGCGCATGCAGCCGAGGCAGTGGCCGAAAAAGATGCCTGGGACTGCCATGTGAACGATGCTTGGACCTGGGGAGGGTATTTTTTTTATTTTTTTTTCGGTTTTTAAAGTGATATGGTTTCAAAAAGTGTATGTAGAATTATACATATATAATCACATATATATATATAGACATAGAATTATACATATATAATCATATATATATATATACATTATATATATATACACATACAATTTAATCATATATATATATATATATGCACATACATATCACATATCTATACATGGTCAATCCTACCTTGGATCATGATTCCTGCCGAAAGTTACCTGGTGGTAACCATCCTCGTCGCCCTTAGAGTCGTGGTCCCGCGACGGAGATTGCCAGTTGAGGATTAATCTGGTTACTGTTCACTGTTATTTAACCAATAATCTATTACAGTAATGGTGCATAGTGGTTTAAACACGTGGTTAAAACGTGATTCATAGTCAGTAAGGATAGATTAATAGTTAACCAGACAATCAGATTAACCAATGGATTTAATTATCATGTTAATTGTCATCTGGTCAGATAATAATATGATTAATAGTCATTATATAACCAGCAATTTGATTACTATGATTGATCTGACCAATAACCAATAATCCATTACTACTGGTTAATAGTGCTGTTTTGTGATTAATTAATGGTCATTAATAGTAATTAATAGTTATTAATAATGGCTAATGATGGTTTATGATGGCTAGCAATACACATGGGGGTTTCCTTAAATGGGATTACCCCAATAGCTGGATGGTTTACAGTATGTTTATAATGAACAAACTTATATAAGTGCAATGATTTGGGATGATGACTGGGGGTATAATTATAGTTTGGGCCTTCGTAGTTCATAATCCGCTTGGATAACCCATTGGTTAATAGGGGTTAATAGGGGTTAGTAGTCATTAATAGTGATTAATCATGGCTAATAATGGTTCACAAGCATATATGGGGGTTTCCTTAAATGGGGTTACCCCGATACCTGGATGGTTTATAGTGGATCCCCAATTCATTATGAATAATCAACAATATAAATTAAAACTAATTATTGATATCGCCAACTATTTAAGAATGGAGGTATTCACCAAGGACTGTCTGGATGTCACGAATTGAGACATGTGTCGTTTTGCACTGGTCGAACTGATCCAATTTAGCAATCTGAGATCAAGCTGTGGGGAAGAGCTAGGCGATCTGAAAATATGTTGAAGCATCTTAGCCTCCAGTAAATTAACAGTTCGACCCTGGCAGATAGGGGTTGATTCATATGAGTTTCCACTAAATGATTGGGTGATTTTTAGGCTCGAGCTGTTAATTTGCCAGAGGCTAAAACTTACTACCAAACCATCTATTGGGCACAACTTCTTAGGCTTCTGACAATGGAGAACTTACCTATGGGCAGATGAGCAGATGAGCACAGCAACGGAATGAGTTGCACCGGGATTTGGACTCCACGCCCATAGCAAAATCCAGGCCTCTAAACAGCAGCAACAATAGTGGAGATCCAACTGCTTAGACATGATGAACCACCATTTGAAAGGTATTGGTTTGTGAAGCATCCAACGTCATTCTGTTCATGTCCTTCTATTTTTTATCATTGTTATCATTATCCATGATCAATAGCTATTTTACCTATTATCATCTATTACTATTAAATTTCTTAGATAAAACCGTTCTTGTGATTGCAGACCTATTATATTTTTTTGGTGTGTGTGTGTGTTCCGCAAACTCATGAAAACGGTCATTTTACATGGCCTGTACACGGCTGGCTTTTGGAAAAATTAAGATCATTTGTCAGGACTTATCAGAAAACTCGCTCTCGCCGATTGGTGACACTAAAAGGGCTGTGTCTGAAAATGGGGAATAACCCAGTTTATGACTTTTCAAACGGGGAGAATGATCAACTAATTATCATCTGATCATCAACATTGATCAAATGATGATCAATTATCAACCATCAACTGTGAAACATCAGGTGATAGTTGATCATATCCCAAAAGGGGAGGTTGGTGCCAAACTGATCAAGTATCAAATTTGGAGATACCCGATTTTCAGAGAAAAACCATAGAGACATATGCACAATTTAGTGCCCTAATTCAAAAAAGGATGCGGGGTATCTGTATCCCACTTCCAAACATCTCTGGCTAGACCTGAATTTGGTTGCCTTAGGATGGCTCATGTAGAAATCACCCAGCTGACACTTCCCCCCTGGCGCATCACACCTTATGACGTCGCTGGCGCCAAGGAGTGCTTGCTCCAAGAACGGGATGAGATCCAAGCCAGGAAAGAGAGGAGCGGAGCATCGTCCAACGAACCGTAATGAAATCCATGTCCCATCGACGGTGCTGGATGTTTACCGAACTGTTTACCTACTAAAAATATGCTCATTTCAAATAGCCATATGGGAAAAGTCCAGTCGCATCCTGGCATGCTGCGCAGCCAGAAATCACCTGAATCTGCACTTCCTGAAGCATCAGATGGCTATGGGTGAGCAAAAGCGCAAGGAACAGAGGCCCGATGGGCTGTGAGGCTGCCTAAGCCCAGAACATTTGACCTATAGCGCCAAAAACCTCACAGTTGTATACATTTTTCAATATGTTTGGTCATTCCAAAATGGAACATTTTGGGACCAACGAATCCACTAATCGCACAATTACTTGGAGAGTGAAGCCTCTGAAGCCTCAAACACTGTAGAGGTTGAGCTCCTGAAGCTGTGATGCCCTAGGTATCCGACCTTTTTTTTTGGCAGCCAACTACAAAAATCGGTCAACTCCAACTTTTCATCCAGGCATTTTCGACCGGTTCTTTCGGCCGAACATCTTCGTTTCCACAGGAAAGAGGATATCGAGGCCGCCTCGGCGCACGACTTTCCTAGTTTCTCTGAAGTGCACCCGGATGAGATGAAGGACTTCATTAAGGGCCAACAGGACCTGCCGGGCCTGTCGGGGGTACCCGGGTAGGTAGCCGGGTCCCGTCAACGTAGGGTGCGTTCATTGCGTTTTTTTAAAACCGTGTTTGATGGGTCATTTTTGTTCCATAGTTCCATAGTTCCATAGCTATGGTATGTCATGTTAGTTTACTGATAGGTTGATTGATGGTTGATGGCAGAGGGTCGGCAGCTTCGCGGTCTGTCATGGCTTAGGATATCCACAAAATCCGAATGGTTGGTCGTCATGTTCCAATTTGAAATTGGCTCTAAATTGGAAAACCAAAGGTACAGCCCATTTTCAGACTTACACGAATCACCAGAATTGCTGGATCTTGCTGCTTCATAATTCTTTTTGCTTTCTTAAGTCAGAGGGGATCTCCAGTCGTCACCATGGGTTAACCTATACTAAGTCATGGTCTAATGCTAGATGATTTGGTGAACCCCCCATGACAAAGCGGACACCTCCATATAGTGGATTACTGATTCATGGTTAGTAGTAATTAATTCATATAGTTCATAGTAATCGTTAATCACTATGAACTACTATTTCACTATTAATATCTATGAACTACTAAGTAGTTCAGAGTTATTAATAGATATTAATAGTAGTTCATAGTTATGGTCTACTATATATTTATATCACTTCGCACATTTCGGAAAGGCCATCGCTTCCGGCTCCGCGTCCTCATTTCAGGAGAAGGTGCGGCAGGCACTGGATGATCAGGTGAGAACGAACAACACCTTGCGCTACTTGCCGGATGACGGGATGTTGCATGGGTATGGCGGTGCAGTTGAGGATGTTTGATTGGATCATTGGACATGGGATATTGATGGAATATGAATGGAATAGGAACGGAATAGGAAGGTTAATAGCCTCTGGTAATTTGTTACAGTTCGCGAACTGGAAGCCATGGCCTGTTGATAGATGATTTACCTATTAAACATGGTGATTTTCCATAGCTATGTTAAATTACCAGAGGGTAACCATGAAGATGTTAAACAATTGGCATAACCATGGAATTTCAACTGCCATGTGGGTTGGGAAATAACCCCTGTAACTATGGTGAAATCTATCCACTTAGTTCACTGGAACTGCACTTCCAAGAATAGGTATCACCTGCAGATGACTTGTCGCAAGGATCGGACTTGAAACCATGGGTGATGAATTGAATAGATTTCATTACGGGGGTAGCCACCCATTTTTTTCGAGAATCTGCTCGTAAAATGGTACCCCGAAAATTCAACAGCCCAGCTGGTTATTCCTCCTGAGTTGACACTATTACAGTTGCAATTGTTCCCTTGGATGCATTGGAAGATTTGAGTCAATCATTTGGAGGTGTCCGAAAATTTAGGTATATACTCCCAAATGGGTATGGATCAATACCTATTAATAGCATTTTTAGGGGAATGAACATCCATTTACCAGCTATTTTGATGTTCACCAGGGGTACAAGGTTTTGACACACTCCCAAATCATCCAAATCATCCTGCTATTTTAGTATTGACACCTATGGTGACGAGATGTTATTCTTGGAACCCCTTGGATCTTGGCTGAAACTATAACTGGGTCCCCCCTTTTTTTTCGGTGAGTTGGGAATTTTTAAAAAACGGGTTCACTATGGGTATAAGTACCATTAACTATCATGAACCAGCTAAGTTATCATCCCATAGGGATGATCCTTAACCTTTGTGTACTCAAGCCATGAACAAAACACCCTGGTTACCCTCTGGTAGTTTGTTACATAGATTGAAAATGGCCATTGAAATAGTGGATTTTCCCATTAAAAATGGTGGATCTTTCCATAGCTATGTTAGTTTACCAGAGGGTAATTGATTGCTATAGGGGATTATAGTATCTACTACCTGGTATTATTGTAACAATGATAAGCCATAGGATTGGGACACCTATCAACCAACCGGTATAATGAGATGGGACAACGGGGTATTTTTAATTGCTCATATGTACTCATCATTTCTTTTCTAGTTATAGGATGTTATAGGTATAATATACATAACAAGAGATACCTAGAACATCCTTGAACTACATAACTATCATTGACCATACATCTTTTTGTGACATATTGAAAGGAGTGGTCCAGTAAGCCTTGCAAAAAAAATGCCTAATCAGCAACAACCTGTCCTGAGAAGGGGATTCTGGGATGCTAGCTGCATGTTTACAAGGCTATGAAGAAGTTATCCGTGATAATTTGGTGTGATTTAGCAGGTGATGAACGAATCTTCATAAAAGGAGTTGTTGCTCAACATGGGTTCTGCGAAAGATAAACATGGAGTTCGCGAAAGATTCGCGAAAGAAAGGAAAGACTTGTATTCGCGAAGAATGGCCGTTTGCAGATGAAGGAATTTAGATCAACCGCCATGTGATCAGTTAATGATAACTACATAATTTTCTACTTTTTATGTTTTAAAGATATCATCAATCCTAACTGGATCATCCCAGGGAACCTCGCGAAGCAGAAGGACCTAGCGCTGGAGCTAAGCCAGTTGCAGGCATGGATCATGCACAGATGTAATATTTTGAATATGTTTATTTATAATACGTGTACACATACACATTCCTAGTATACATGTGTGTATATATATACATATGTATATATGCATATAAACCTGATGTATGTCTTTATATACATATTATGGTGTTTATACACATGTGTGCCATGCGAGAACAATACACTATATACTTCTTGCCAAATGAAGGACCGCCACCAGTGACCACCTGGCTGACGACGGATGAGACGGGGGCGTTTTCATACTAGGCTTACCAGTTCGTTAAAGCGAAATGGTGGTTTCCTAAATGGTGGCACCTCAAAATTGATGGTTGATTTCATCGAAAATCATACTAAAATGGATGATCCGGGGGTATCCCCATTTTAGGAAACACCCAAATATATTTCGGCATATTTGGACAGACCAATTGAAAAAATCGGTGACAACTGGTGCTTGACCGAACCTTAACCTTGAACACATGGAAGACATCCCATATCATCCCATCCTAATCATCCACAGCCGTTTTTCGGGACCCCAATTTGTGGGACCCGGCCTAGATTTCTCCAGGCCAACCGAGAGGAGCTGGCCATGCTGCGGAAAGCTGATCGTGGGGACGCCGAGGATGCACTAAACATCTGCAGTAAAGACAGTAAAGATAGATGAGCAGCGTCAAAAACCCCCAAAAACTAGACGACGGATGGCCCGAGAGCGTAGAGGAGCAGGGTCTTCTCTTGTTAGTATGGAGACGCCATATTAGAAACAATATATTAAAGATGTGTTATATGCAGTCGAGAAGAGGAGTATTAAGACAAAATAGCAGAAGTGCAAGACAATAGTTTGCATCGCAAACACTTTTACACACAAGCTTTTACACACAGACGCTTTTACATACAGACCCTTTTACGCACAGACCCTTTTACACACAAAGCTTTTACCCACAGAAGCTTTTACATACAGAAGCTTTTACACACATACGCTTTCACACAGATGCTTTTACACACAGACACTTTTACACTGACACTTTTACACACAAACCTTTTACCCACAGAAGCTTTTACATACAGAAGCTTTTACAAACATACGCTTTTACACAGATGCTTTTACACACAGACACTTTTACACACAGACACTTTTACACACAGACACTTTTACACACAGACACTTTTAACAAAGAGCCTTTTACACACAGGAGCTTTTACACACAGAAGCATTTACACGCAGACGCATTTACACAAACACTTTTACACACAGTCACACAGAAGCTTTTACACATAGACGCTTTGACACTTTTACACACAAACACTTGTACATACAAACACTTTTACACACAAACACTTTTACACATAGACGCTTTTACACGCAGAAGCTTTTACACGCAGACGCTTTTACACACAGAAGCTTTTACACACAGACGCTTTTACACACAAAAGCTTTTACACACAGACGCTTTTACACACAATCACTTTTACACACAGACACTTTTGCACACAGACGCTTTTACACACAGACGCTTTTACACACAGACGCTTTTACACACTAACACTTTTACACACAGACGCTTTTACACACAGACCCTTTTACACACAGACGCTTTTACACGCAGTTACACACAAAAGCTTTTACACACAGACGCTTTTACACACTAACGCTTTTACACACAGAGGCTTTTACACACAATCACTTTTACACACAGACGCTTTTACACACACAGACGTTTTACACACAGACACTTTTACACACAGACGCTTTTACACACACAGACGCGTTTACACACACACACACTCTTTTACACACAAAAGCTTTTACACACAGACGCTTTTACACACTAACACGTTTACACACGGACGCTTTTACACACAGACACGTAAAATCGCAATTTTACCTCAGTTTTTGCCGATCGACCCTCGTTGCGTGCGAAAGAGTTTCTCCAGGACAAGTAAAATCGCAACTTTACCTCAGTTTTTGCCGATCGACCCTCATTTCGTGCGAAAGGGTTGCTCGGGGGCAAGTAAACTCGCAATTTTTCTTCAGTTTTTGACGATCGACCCTCGTTTCGTGCGAAAGAGTTTCTCCAGGACAAGTAAAATCGATTAAAATCGCAATTTTACCTCAGTTTTTGCCGATCGACCCTCATTTCGTGCGAAAGGGTTGCTCGGGGACAAGTAAACTCGCAATTTTTCTTCAGTTTTTGACGATCGACCCTCGTTTCGTGCGAAAGAGTTTCTCCAGGACAAGTAAAATCGATTAAAATCGCAATTTTACCTCAGTTTTTGCCGATCGACCCTCATTTCGTGCGAAAGGGTTGCTCGGGGACAAGTAAACTCGCAATTTTTCTTCAGTTTTTGACGATCGACCCTCATTTCGTGCGAAAGGGTTCATGTTTCGTGACTCCCCGCCGGCACCACCCTCGGCCTAAAGAGAGAAAGATAAAGAAGGCGAGAGAGAGAAAAGGGAGAGAGAAAGGAGAGAGAGAAAGGAGAGAGAGAAAGGAGAGAGGAAAGAGGAGAGAGAGTGAGAGAGAGAGAAGATGTGAAGATGAGAAGGTGTGAGAGAAGGTGTGAAGATGAGAAGGTGTGAAGATGAGAAGATGAGATACAGACCCCCACTATTGGAAGAACCCTGCGCTCAGACGCCTTCGGGAAAAACATTGGTCTATTGCTAATCAAGCCGTCCTCCATTGGGGTTCATTGCACTGGATTTTCCTCCCTGTTTGGGATTGTTTGGGAGGATTTAAAGTGTCCCCTTGCTGTGGTTGGTTACTGGGATGGTTTATGGCATTCGGTTTGTCACATAGTTGGGGTTCTACTGACTTGTCGAAAGGGGATCAGCCAACAATCCGTTATTGGAACAACTATAAACAAACCAGTAGAACCAGTTTGCAACGATTGGCAGGCTTTAGCCGCTGCTCAAATGAGCCATGAACAAAATAACCCTCTTGATTCGTTACTATACAGGATTAGCAAAACCTGATTGACCGGAGATTATGAACTAACCCATAATTTTGGATTAAGTACTCTGGGAATCTCTGGGATGGGATAGGGTTATTTTTGATGGCCCAGATGATTTTACTCAGAAAATCAGGAGTTTGAGCGACAAACATAGGAGGTGCAGACAAAGGATGACAACAGGGATATCAACACGGAAAATTGCGATTTGACACAGAAAAAGGGTGGTTGGGGAGCACCATGCTGTTTTAGGAGAGGACAGCTGTGAAACCAAGAACGGTAGGGTATTTTGGCATGTCCGTGAGCATAGGAGAGTTGACTTCAATCTTACTGGCGGTTAAGCGGGAATAAGGGAATACAAAAACTATGCCCCATGGCAAGTTCCAAGTGCTTGATGATGTGGTTCAATGTTTACACCAGTGTCTCCGGTTAAAAATATCCATTTGTGATGATGAGTTGGTTGGAGAATGGAATTGTACTATTATAATTATGACATGATCAAAATAAAAAATGAAAGGCCAGTTGCCTCAGTTAAATAAGGTCTAGACCAAATGTATTTAAATATGGGCTAATTAATAATATTAATAGATCAATTGTATCACATTATTGCCCTTAAAATTAATGGATCATGTTGCATTGCCCCATGCTGAAGAAGCATCATCACATGCATTGCCCCATGCTGCAGAAGCATAACATGCATTTTCCCATGCTGAAGAAGCATCATCACATGCATTGCCCCATGCTGCAGAAGCATAACATGCATTTTCCCATGCTGAAGAAGCATCACATGCACTGAAAATTGCCCAAATCAGATGCCAGTGAAGCATCCATGCTAAAGAAACAACCATTCTTGGAAACATCCATGCTGTTTTTTTTGGAATCTTTAATGATATTTTGGCCAGGATCAAAATTCATGGAATTCGAACAGCCAAGATCAGTGTGCTAAGGTGGCACTGACGCATCTGTTCAGAATGAGGAAGATTGCAAAAAGCGGCCAGCTAGCTGGCCACATGCCAGCTTGCTGGCAACTGAAACAACCCCAAAACGGCTAAGAGGCCAGCTAGTTGGCAAGAGTAAGACATAATATGAAACAAAATATGAAACAACAAACTGGCCAAACACCGTAAGGGTCTTTTGGCCAGTTTGTTGTCTATATTTTACATTTAATTTATTACAAGACATTGACTGGCCAGCTCACTTGCCAAAGGCCCTTTCTTTACATGCATGGCGACGGGTGATGCCCACAGTGAGTGTCAGTACACTGCTTCTTGGGCTCAATTTGATTTGCGTCAATTTCAATCGGAGCTCGAAGGGAGCCCCGACCATCGGCGAATGATCTTCCGCATGGCCTCTTCCAAGTCTATGCTTGAGAGCCACTTCTGAGTTGAGGCTGAAAAGAAGCGAAAATAGTTTGAAAAACGTTAGTCAAACAAAATCAAACCTCAGTCAGTGAACAGCAATAACATCCAAGCCGCGGAGTTGTTCCTCAAATAGTTGTACTTCGCCTTGAGAAGCTCCAGCGGCATCCTGTGCAAGAGGCGTTTTTGAACCATCATCGGGCATGGCGCTGGCTTCTCCTTGGCTCGCGTCCATTGTCCCATTTTGCTGGCTTGGATGGTTTTCGCAGTCACAGAAGGGGGCGGTGGTCGCATCATTCCCATGGATACAAATGAGGCTCTTGACAATGGACGACATTTGGCCTGGGAAATTTTGCGGCAGTCAAGTGTAAGTTTCAGTCAAGCCAGCTGGCAGCGCACATTTATGATCAGCCAGCAATCTGGCCATGCAAACAAACACTTTATCAGTCGCGGTGCTTCGCCATTGGAAGAACAAATTTGAAGGACCAGCAAGCTGGCCATTTCAACACCAGCAAGCTGGCCATTTCAGGACCAGCAAGCTAGCCAATTCAGGTTATCATTTCAAAATTTCAATCGGTGACAATCATTTTCACCATTTGATTCCAGGCACTGGTAGTCAGTCCATTCCTGACCAGCAGTGGTCTTACCACTGGTCGTTGCTAAAGAGGGTTGTGTTTCCAGACCTTCAAGTCTGTCTGGAAAAGGCCAAGCATGCACCACCCATAGATGTCGTCCGCAGATGCATACAGGACTGCCGTGAGCAACACGGATCTGCCGGCGGAGTCCCACACCTCAACTCATCGATGATATTGTTTCGCAAGTTGACCTGGATAAAAACCAAAGCTCATTGTGTACATAGAGTGGACATTTGATGATATCAGTTACTATTTTTTAAGTTTGAAGGCAAGAAACGCCACGGAAAAAACCTTCTTCAACGTAGGCAACATCTCGAAGATCATGGATGTGCACAGTGCCACCCGCTTGTACTGCCTCAGAAAAAATGCTCAAAATCAATGGCAAAAAACTGCCTGGGCACGGAACCATGTTCTAAATGCAAACTGATAGTACCATCATCAACCAGCAAGCTGAAACAACCAAACAGTTTCAACCAGCAAGCTGGTCCAATCATCAACCAGCAAGCCGGTCCAATCAACTAGCAAGCTGGTTCAATCATCAACCAGCAAGCTGGTCCAATCATCAACCAGCAAGCTGGTCCAATCATCAACTAAGCTGGTTCAATCATCAACCAGCAAGCTGGCTGGGTCAATCATCAACCAGCAAGCTGGTCCAATCATCAACCAGCAAGCTGGTCCAATCATCAACCAGCAAGCTGGTCCAATCATCAACTAAGCTGGTTCAA